CCAATGAGCATTCAGCATAAAGTCGCCATATTGATTTACATAAGATGTTCATTGGTCCAACGCGGCGCCGCGCGCCGGCGGTTTTATGCTATGCTTATGCCTAAAGCACGTTTGTGCGATAGCCCTAATATATCGAATGTTTATTTACTACATTTGTGCTTCGCGAAATTGATACGGATGCCGAGGTATGTCGCATTCGATAATAGTGACTTTCTATTACATTCTTTCGGACGATCGATTTCGGATTTCGCTTTTCTCAACCGTCAACTTGATTCGCGTTTCGCGTCGTGTCGGCGCGGCTTCAGAACCAAGTAGCCGTCGTCCGTCGTTTTCGGAACACGGATAAAGGGATCGAACGGACCCCAAATCGAGTGACGCCGCGATGAGACGTGCGACGTGCGACGTGTGTTTAATTAGCGATCACGGTCCCTATTAACGTACGTTTAACCTCATATTTAATCGTGTTTGACGATTTACCGATTGTGGAGAATAGATATAAAACGTTCATAAATTGATGATTTAATTGCAGTTAACTTAAAAATCGCGCCTTGTAATAATCGGTAAAGTAGCGATCGTATTATTTTCGGTTGGCATGTTCCGCGGATATTTCTCAGCTTTGATCTTTGATTTTAATTCATCAATTTATTCCTCTTAAGCCGCTTATATTGCGCTACGTAAAAGTAATCTCGACATTATTGATCGTTGTTCAAAGTGTGAAGTTGGCCGCGCGCGATTTACAAAATTCTCTCCGCCATGTTCGCTTGACTTGTCGCGTCCGCGTCTACCTGCGCGGCTTGCGCCGCGCGCGGGATGGCGGGAAGTCACGGCGCGCGCGGGCCGCGGCGGTGTCAAGCGGATCGTATAGCTTCGTTCCAACTTTCTCCGACGTAATTCTTCCGTCGCCGTATAATTAAGTACGCGCCGCGTTGCAAAATTATAATACCGGGAGTGCCGTGCAGTGTCAAAAGTGTCGCGCTATTACAAGTGACGATATCGTCGATTTTCGTTCATGAACGTCGTGAGTGCGACAATGGACCAACGAAGGAGGATCGAGAGAGGAGGGGGCCTGGGACTGGGACTGGGAGGCATCGGGCAACGGCGCGCGGCGCGGTGAGGTGAGTACGTGTTACACTGTAGATATAAATCAAGTTGTAATTATATATTCTTTGATTAATTGTACAAAGAATTATGACATAGATTTATCAAAAAGATACAGGTCTTAGAAAATTGCTATTGCATATCTGCGTATGATACAATGATTGCCGTCAAAATATCAAACGAGATAGCAATCTCTGTATCGTCTTGAATGTGTAGCTTCTTGTATAAAGAAAACAAAGTTACCGGAAATGCCGTTTGGACATATCTGTGGTATTTACCGCACACATATACACATACTTATGCATAATATATTTAATATAATTATCATTTCGCATGTATTATCCATCATATAATCGCTATCGCGTACAAAAATTTTTATCGTCATCTTAATTTTAACTCAATCGACGAAAAAATCGTGCTGAATCGCGCTATATCCTATATCTATCAAATCAAAAGCATCGCTTAATCGATGGTTATCATATTTAAAACTTGCGACTGTATGTTACGCGAATTAAAATATGAATGTTAAATGCATTAAAAATATTGGAATCGTGTAAATTTGGGGATTTTTTCTCATGTTATTCTTCGTAAAAGAGAAACGTTTACGTTAATCAATGTTGCGCAACATAATATATGTTGCGAAAAATACATGAGCGAATCTTAGGTCGCGTTGTCATCTCTCCCTCAAAAAGGACTTGGCAACGTGTGCATATCTCGGTGATTATTTTTCTTTTATATATCTTCTTGCATTTAATAAGATCGATTATCAGGCGTCATCACTTAAATTTAAATCACGAGCGGGCAACACGAGCAGCTAAATGAGTTTAATGAGATTTAAAAGCTTGAGAAAGAAACGTCCTGACGCCGGGCTTGTTTTATTTCCTGCGCAATGTTATCAATTGTGCCCCATATTTATAATTATCTTCTATCTTTTGTCTATAATTCTCGTTCTCGTATGGCTTGATAAAATTTTGTAGTAACCACGTAGTAGCAAGCTTGTGGTCCTAAAGAACGTCATACAACAATCCGTTCGATTTTTACTCAACCGTGACCGACTTGGCCAAGTTTCTCGGACAATCGACGTTGCAGCCACGCAAAACCGCAATATGGAAAGACAATAACTGCATGGGAATAACGGTGAGAATTCCTTGTAGGCAATCGACAGTTTTAGGTATCTCAAGAGCCCTATCGGCAAAAGCCTTCGTTTCCTCGTCCCCTTCCTCGCAGATAACAATAGGCTTACCGTCTCGCGCGGTAACTTGTTGAAGTGCATTCATGCATTTCTGCAAAATAAGTTATTCGATATACCAATATACCAACTATGCTGTATGCTACATCTTTTTATATCTCTTTTAAATTCGTCCTGTATAATGTACAAATAATGTACCCATGAGCGTAACACGGATATAAAAATTTGCTTAATTAAACTTACCACGTAAACTGGATCTCTCATTACGATCATAATTACCGGCATGGAATCGTCAACGAGAGCTAAAGGGCCATGTTTCAATTCACCGGCCATAATTCCCTCGCTGTGCATGTATGTCAATTCTTTTACTTTCTGCAAATAAGTTAAAGTGTGTTACAAGTTAGAATTGATCGCGCGTAGTAACTTATTATTGCTTCTCTCTTCTCGCATACTTACGAGTGCACCTTCCATGCACGTAGCGAAATTGTATCCGCGCCCCATGATCAACAAGGACTTGTGTTGAAACAAAGACTTGGCTAGTTCCTTAACTTTATCGTCAAGCTTCAATACTTCGCGAATGAGATTATCGAGATTTTTCAAGCCTTTGATAATCTGGAAAATATGCGTAAGATTTAATCACACTTTATTAAAAAAAAAAAACACGTAAAATAAAATGTTAAACTCTAGGTGAACGTACCTGTAAGCGTCTCGCGCGAAGAGAGATTCTGTCCTCGCTCATTACCAGTGCAAACATCACGAGAGAGATGAATTGCGAGGTGTAAGCCTTAGTACTTGCTACACCGATCTCGGGACCGGCGTTGATATGCACGCCACAATGAGATTCGCGACAGATACTACTGCCGACCGTGTTAGTTATACCCACGATAAGAGCTCCGCGACTTTTGCAATAACGTAACGCCATTAACGTGTCAGCTGTCTCACCTGTTATTACGAATACAATAACTCAATCACAATCCAATAATTTTTATCACGTTAAAACGGCATTATTTGCGATATTTTGACTTGAATTTTCTTATCCGCTTATTTTTCACATTTTTATTATATATATCTGCGTTAATCGTTTCGTGAAGCCTTACCCGATTGAGAAATAAAAAAGCAGACGTCGTCTCGAAAAACTGGCGTATTACGATCCAAAAAATCGGATGCGAGCTCAACCATTACTGGCAATTCTGTCAGTTCCTCGAGAAGCTGCCGCGTAGCTATGGCAGAATGATAGCTCGTACCGCAACCGATTAGCATGAGACGTCTGCATCTTTTGATCTCGGGAATGTAATCCTGAAAAAGTATATATATATATTATATATTTTTTTTCCAATTTTTACCAGATTCTTTTCTCCCAAAACACTTTCGAAAAATTATATGCAAGAGTTACCTTAATTCCGCCTAAGGTGACTGAGTTGTCTTGAAAATTCAAGCGTCCCCTCATAGTGTTCACCACCGACTCTGGCTGCTCGAAAATCTCCTTCTGCATGAAGTAATCGTAATTGCCTTTCATGATCTGCTGGATCTCCATCTTCAGTGTCGTGATTTCGCGAGCGTGAGGATCATCCATGCAACGACGAAGACGATGAATACTCAGCGCGCCTTCTTTAACGGCTGCCACATCGTCATCCTATCGACATAATGCATGAGATAACTTTTTGCGATCTCGCCTAAAATTTGGTTAAACGTGCAACGGTCAATTCACACCTCTAAGAATATCACGCGATTCGTGTGCTCGATTATGGAACTCGCATCCGAAGCGAAGAAATATTCGACCTCCTTATCCTCAAGAGGTTGAAACTCGGATGTACTCTCGCTACGTGGAATCACCGGAAGTTCTGGATTTCTGCCATGCGGACGATGATCTACGCAGAGATTGAACCGTTGTTCTATTTTACAAAGATATTAAAAAAGTCTATTTTTTAAGTAAAATATTATAATTTTGAAACTTGAAATTCTTTTAGAATACATGGAAAAAATATCGTACAAACAATGGAAAATAAGATTCCACTGCAGAACTCTCCATTTTATTTAAAAACTACTCGGGAAAATAAGAGTAAAGCAAACATATACATATAGCAAACAATATAGAGCATGATAAAAAACCATCTACATTGCAATGGACTAATTATATTATCAGGATATATATATCATATTTTTGTATATTGTATATATTATATGTACATAACATATTATACATACAAAATTTATTATTGCACGTATTATTGCGAATAGTACTTGTTTATTTTGCACCGAAGTTGTGTTAGTGATAAAAAAAATCAAAGTTGATATCTAAAATGTTTAAGATAAAAATGGTTGATTATTAATTTCTCTCAATTATTGTTACAGTTGTGCTAAATTTATATTACAGTTTCCGTTTTCTTATTGTAGCTACATTGAATTATGACGCAAAAAGCGAGAAATCATTTAAACTTTCTTTCTTACATTTTATTGAAATAAATTAGTTTTTTTTTGCATGCTACTATTGCTAGTACGCTGATTCGATAGTGTATAATAGACAGATAGGATATACCAAAAACTCTTTTTTCAATTCATAAATTAACAGCTGTAAATTCCAAGTTTATCGTGAATTACTAGCTCTAAATTTTGATTAACTGTTACAAGATCTATTTTTATTAAGAAGTGTAGAACGCATGCAGATTGAATTATACGTTTATTTGCTAATACGAGGTAACAAAGAGAGCTTTTGGTGACAAAAAAAATCTAATTTACTTTGGCATAGAGCAAGAAAAGATTTCACGTTATTTCTCGTTTTTGATGTCATAAATCGATATGGCTATGCAGTAGAGAAAATAAGAGTATTGAGTTATTTGCTCGTTTTCTTCTAAGCCCCACACCAGTTTGGCGCAATATAATATCATAATGTAATAAATACATATATTTTGAATACGAACAGCAAAAATAGCGACTATTGTATTGTATTTAGATATTCACTCACACATATCTCGCAATCTTGAGGAATATTAATATTAATAATATCCAAATATGTTAATTAGCTCGCTGCGAGACAATGAGAATGATATCACCTCGACAACAAAACGAATAAAAATAATGCCATGATGTGTTCGATAACGGTAACGACACTAACAACGATCAACAACACTTAACGGAATATATACATATTCTTATCAAGTAGTAGGCATGGTATAGCGACAATTATTCGCTAGCGATAACTATATAGTATTAACTATGTATATCCCGAGAGTATGTTATATATTCCTCATCTACATTAATCGAACATTGGATAGGCAAAACTTGTTATAAGCGGAAAGTGGGAATAACTTGTAAATTATACACATTATAGGAAAGGTTATTGGTAGTATACGTACGGAAAGCGTAGCGCGATATACCGTCCATCATCTATCCATCCATCCACCCATCCATCGTCTTTATCCATAAAAGTCAGAAAGACGGCCAAGCGCTTGTAGTTAAAAATAACTGATTACATTTATTTACAACGAGCAAATCACACGTCACCGAGACAGTTAATCGGGCATAGAGAACAAGCGGAGAGAAGTTTAAACTTGATGTAAAGTATTACCTTGAGACGGTGCTTCACCTTCTGCACATATTGGGACGCGGGAAGGAGGAAAACGAGAAAGAAAACAAAAACAATTAGCGCACAAATAATGCCACAACGGTAACAGCATAATGATCGATATAACGGCAAATATAAATTTAATGGAACGAATGAATGCTGAGTGCTGTGTGCGGTGTGCGGTACAAAGAGCGAGCATCAAGCGCGTGACGAGCATTAATTTATTTGAAAAATAATACGTATTAAATTTTCTTCTAATTTCGTCTAATATCTATCGTTAAAGATTATTTTAAAAAGAAAACTATTTTAGATAAATTATTTTATTTTTTTTTATCTAAAAAAGTCTTATTTAGACATTATCTTAGAAATACAAAAATACTTGACATTAAATTTTATTATATACATGTACATGTATAAGACGCGAGATCTTAACTTTTTTCATGTTATATATGTTTGTTTACAAACTTTCCCCAACTTACACATCGTGTAAAAGCCGCAGATTCTTGTAAGCGTAAAATTTATTCGTTTTACGGTTTACCGTTTACATTGTTTTGAAGGCTAACGTCTTCTTTCAAGGGATTACTCGTTAATCCCTTAGATTTTTATGTTTAACAATTAGATAAAACTCATTGCACTATGTTAGCACTCGGTAAGCAATAAAATCTTATAATCCTCAACATACTTCATCGCAATCGTTAAAATTCATTTATTTCTGTCTATTAATTTTAAAAATATACGTACCAGGTGTCTTACTTTTAATGCCAAAACTGCGCTCCTAAAGCCGCTTGAAAAAAATTAGTGTTATACGCTATCATGATAGCGTTCGTGGATTTGTAAGAAAAAAATTATAGAAGTCTCGTCTTGTAAGCAGGTTTGCGTTACAAAATGATTTATTTGGAATAAGAATAGAAATATGCCAATTAGCGAGCGAATGAGAGCATGTGTTACTGTGTTAAAGCGAGAGAACGAACATTGGATAACAGCCCGTGAATGATAAGAAACTGAAAACGCGATCTCGAATGCGACCGTGTGACATCTCGAGATCGACGATGTTAACAAGAAATTTTCACAAAAGACAATTCTACGTAAGAATCGTACCGATTTAGGCATTCCTCAATCACTGGATCGTGCGACAGGAATAGAATAATGCATGCTCGATAGTGCATAATTTGCCGATTGTTAATAATAAAAATCGAAAATCGAATGGATCAATGCGATATGCACATCGACAAGAAACATTTCGATTGATCACATATATAGATATCGTGGTACGAAGCCGTTTGTTTCGTTTTCTTATGCTCTCGTTACAGCGAGAGATTAAGTGCCAAGGACGGGAATCGAAATAAATTTAGTATAATAGAATGTATATTATACCTTTGTTTATTGCGCATTGAAGATCGTCTGACGGCGTGAAAAGTTGTAGAACATAACCGCAAGGTGTTCATGCAAAAGAAACACATATAATAATCCACATTAAACTCGTACGGAAAGAGAGCTTATATGCAATGCAATTTGCCAAAGTCTAGAGAAACAGACAACAAGTACTTGAATTAACAGTCATGCACCTACTCAAACTCTTTAACAATTACGATACTTATAGACAAAATGACAAAAAAGAGCAAAAGAAATATTGCAAGCCTAAAAGTAAATATATTAATTGATTTCTATTTAACTATATCTATTATTATATTTAATTAATATTTAATAATATACATATATAAAGACTAACTCATGAAGACGCTAGTATCTCGAGAAATTTTTTTGTACAAATGAATACGCGTGATACTCTATAATACAATCGCAAGCAGCAATGTCTCTCTGATAAACGTTATCTCAATGAACATCGCACAAAAAATTAACGCTGATATAATGCATTCGATCAGTTGCAGTATGCGATATAATATTTAAGTACGAGATGTATGTGATAACATAAATAATGAAGCCAGATATAGTTTAGTCGCACGAGCGTGTTGATCTCCATATCGACTTGTGATTTGAATTAATAGGGAAAAGCGCGCATGCTTATGTTAGTTAGTTATCAGTTATAGGTATTAGTCGCCTTTCTCTCGAACGTGGAATTATGTCGACACTGACAATTGACACTGCAGGTAGAGTGGATAGATAAAGATAAAAGAGATTCTAGAGCAATATAATACAAACGTCTCTTCGTGCGTCTCCGCTGATTAATTATCGTGGAGACGCGTACCTAACGCTCTTTGCCTCTCGAGATATTAAAATAATTTATATTGATAAATACCAGACGATATGCTGAATCGACAGTTTATTACGATCTCGATACTTATCGTTTGACATTAGGAATAATCCCTTGATTTCTCGTGGCATAGATCGAAATTGGATCGATCTGCAATAATCAGACTTACCTTTTCCGTACAGAATAGGCACGTGATCAGTAGCCAGTCTCGTTTTCGTCTTGATACCAACGAGAAGCGGCGATCCTCGCCTCGTAGCTACGCACTCGCCTGGGAAATACTTGCTTTTGAAGCATAGCGCGAAAGCCCCTTCCTAAAATAATATAATTTTTTTCGTTGTAATCTTACATTGGATTTAAGAAAACCTCTTGATAAAAGAAAATAGTAAAATAATTATAGAGCATTTTTCATTAAAGCATTTTCCATTAACGAGATATTCTATTTTCCTACGAAGAAAAGGGCTTTTGATTCATCCTTCCTCCGATATATTAATTAATTAGTAATTCTTACCAATTGCTGAACAACCTGCTCGACGAGCTCACGGAATGAATACGCGGGATGCTGTACCCAGAGATGATGAATCAATTTAGCGATAACTTCAGTATCGGTATCGCTTTCGAATACGTATCCTCTCTGTTGCAACAGAGTTTTAACTTCCTTGTAATTCGTCACGATACCTGCATTTAAGACAATCGTACAGAAAAAATCGAAAGAAAGATTTCGGAACGCGACGCATACATGGCGCACACATATACAATATTACGAGCATTACCATTATGAACAACGACAAAGCCGTGCTCGTTGTCAGAACGCTGAGGATGGGCATTTACCTCCGATGGAACACCGTGGGTCGCCCATCGCGTGTGAGCGATGCCGACGTGGCATTGAGTTTCCGACTCGAAGTCAAGATTGGTGCCTACGAATAAACATCATTGATTTTTACATGACGACGAATGACAGGACCTTCGTGTATTTCTTTTTATGCGACAACGACAAAAGTGGTCGCGCGACGCGCAAGAAACGCGCCAAGTGGTATCGCAAGTCTGAAACTTCAGTCGGCACTTACGACAAAATATCTCCTCTTCGAGAGCCTTGACCTTTCCCTGCTTCTTAATAATCGAAATGTCCTTGCCATCCGCACTGTCGAGGGCGACGCCTGCAAAAAGGACACTGTGTGAAAGAATTCCTATGAACCAATACGGTGCAAATGTGTCGCCTCTTTTATTTATTCGCCGAGAAGCTCTCTTTCTTTCTCTTTTTCTTCGAACCATCGCATCGCGAATTAAAATGAAAACGAATGGCCGAGAGAAATAGAGTGGCCGAGTGGGATGCAGGTGGAATCTAACTTGGACGGCAGAAATTCTATCCTTTTACCACGGTGGATATTCAAGGACCTTCTCTCTCTGACACGACATTCAAAACTGCAAGTATCTATTTATATGTGAGAAAGTGCATAACGCAAGAATGTTACACAATTGCATGTTTTCCTCATAATATAATTAATATATAAAGCGAAAAACCTTGAGAAAGATTACTCTTCGACCAGTTTCAGATATTTTGTGAATTTTTCTTAAATATCTTGCATTTTTCTAGTATAAGATATAGTCTATGACTAGTCGTTGCTTTCCGTTGTTGCCTTATTTTTCTCTCCGTCTTTTTATCGCGAAATAGTGCTTTCAACGCACGGCATTGTTTACATGAGCGGAAAGAGGATTTCGAGATTAGAAATATCGACTTACCTGCAGAATCATATCCGCGATATTCTAATCTCTTCAGGCCAACGACCAACAGCTCCAAGATCTCCTTTCTGCTCTTCGGCGTCAAGTAGTTTAGATAAGCGAAAATTCCTGGGAATTCAAAAACACAATTACTACATATATACTCGGATTTTCAACCACGTGCGATAAAAACACAATTGGATTGAATTATCATTGACAGATATTATTGATAATGAGAGTCTATCTTCCATTAATGCTATGAATCATTTATTATTAATCTTCATGTATCGCATAATGTCTAACGTATTGGACGACCATGAAATTTACGTGTTTGTGTTAATTGACATAATTAGATATAACTAACGATATGACGATATGATAGAAGTTTTTTTAATATATCTATAATTCAATTTTTTCTTTTTAATTTAGCTACGTTTGTCTCTCTCGCTCTCCCCTCACCGTTCCTTTCTATTTCTCTCAATACTGTTTTATCTGTATTATTTTATCGCAAGTTTTCTGTATCTTTGCACAGTTCAATTGCTCCAATAAGCATTCATATGCATTTACTTGACATATTTAATTTAGATCTAATATTGATTAATCACATATCTTTTATTATATTAATATACATTATATTAATTCCTTTATATTTTTTTATTTTTTCTTTTCCAAATAATCGAATTTCTCTTTTCGCGATCTCTCACGACCTTCGGAATCGAGAGGCGGTGCTCAGTGGAATGAAGAGATGGCCTGTCACCTGGTGCAAATGTCTCTAATTTTATTTCTTATATTTGTTCTTGTATACTATTTATTTTAAAATACAACTATAAATTCGTTTTCCTACTTTTCTGCAAAATGTATTCGATCGACTAAAGAAAACTAAAAACATTTGGTAGGCGACAACAGACCATCTCTTAATTTCATTGATCTCTGCACCGCCTCTTGATCCCGAAGATCGCCTTCGTGAGAGAACGCAAAAAGATGAAAAACAATTTGATTTAACGGGAATGCAAAAGATTGAGAAACATCGCAACGAAACCTT